GTATATGTTGTAATGGATCCGCAACAAGGCTATCAATTCGTGGTTGTCATTCATTTAAAAGCAAAGAGACACCCAATCAAAGTTTTCAATTCTGCCCAGTGGATAAAAAATTCCCAGCTTTAGTCAGTTCTAAGTGGCCTTCTAAGATGTTTAGAATAGCTATCTCGTTGGTACTTGTATAGTTATGGGGAGAGAGAGAGAGAGAGAGAGAGAGAGAGAGAGAGAGAGAGAGAGAGAGAGAAGAATAGGAGGAGAAGCGAAGCAGAGGAAGTAGGGGATATCAGTAGGAGGCAGCATAGCAGAAGCAAGTATTGGATATGAAAATGCACGTAACTTGGAGAAAAGGATCAGGAGTGAAGCCTGTTCTTTATTTCCATGTGTCAATCGTAGGACCGAGTTGATATCAAGAACATGTAGTGAAGGAATGAAGTTTGTCGAGGGTAGAGTGTAAACGAATGGTGACCTGTACACCAATTGTTTTGAACAACATTCAATCACCAGGTTTTGGCATCCTGTCGAGTCCTGTCTTCCTCAAAAGAAGATATTTGTGCTTCATTTGGCAAGGAAAAATCGCTGTGTGAGTACATTCATTCTTTACTTCGTGTACTACGGAGCCCTTCACAATATTTCTTTGCACAAGTTGCATCGAAGTACTTTTTGGGCAATCCAAGATTCTGGAAGTCTTAACAGATGTGTGATTTGTATCATTACATCCTTTCAACCTTCCAAGACCGTTGAGTGCAACGCATATCTTATTTCCTTCTGACCGTTATCTTGCAGTTCCTTGGGATTCGTTTATCCATCATCAATCATCGTGTCACGCCTCTTTTCGCTCATTTTTTTCAGTAAATCGTGTATGACTACTGAAAACATCTGACATCACTCCTCTACATCTTTCTTCACCTATTCACATCTCACATCATCTCACATCATCTCACATCATCTCACATCATCTCACATCATCTCACATCATCTCACATCACTTCTCTACATCTTTCTTCATCTCTCCGCATATCACATCTTTGAGCTGAAACAACAGATGCAGCGTCTGGTCCGTTTCGAGTTTCATGTTCGCATGATCCGGCAAATCTAATTTATTTCATCCGATTGTGTCAAAAAAAAAATAATAAACACTAATGACCCACAAGGGTCCTAGGAAGTCCTATGACAATACATAGTCTATAATGGATCATAGGCCAAAAGGTACCGGTATGGGCCTATCATGGTACTAGGAAAAGTAGGCCCTTGTTTACATGATATGTCCTAGGGAGATAGCTACTCTGGTCCGAGGAAGGTCCTAGACACTTACATTTCCATAGGAGCACTTGGACTCTCGGGTCCTAGCGAATGCCACATCACCCCTACGAACAACCCCTCTACCCCAATTGAAACATACCCCTACCCCCTTCTTAGATCAATACCAAGGACCCTCACCCCCTAGTTTTGTGAATCTGATGAGATGTACCATTCAATCGGCTACACTCATTGAAAGACTACCGGTACTTGGTCTACCACCATTTTATCCAACATGACTAAAGGATTTGTACAAGTTTAGAACCCCTATTTTCCATCAAAGCATGGCTGTATGGACCCACCCTCTTGTACCCTACCCACCAATGTGTGTCCTTATCATGCTTTATACCGGTGTATTAGTACCCTGACCTCCTCAAACACATTACTACAATTGACCGGACCGGTATGTACCACCCCCTACCTCGTCTTTGAAATCACCCCCACCCTCATCCACAATGAGCTTTGCTCCCATGCAGCATCAGCAGCAACAGAGTCGCACAAACGAGAAAAGACAGGCCATGCAGACAATCATCATCTCCTCCATCGCATCGCAACTCTTCTTCTTCTCTTTCTGAACCTTTATCTTCACATCTTCCATCCTCACTTGATCTTGATTCTCTTTCTAAACTTCTATCGTCACATCTTCCATGCTTACCTGATCTTAAGGCCTCTGTTTATCTTCCACGTCTGCCTGCTGGCCATCTGTGATGTTTGCCTTATGGTTGCTGTAACCGCTAACCTCCTTGCTTGGCATGCTTGGTTGCTGTAACCGCTAACCTTCTTGATTGGCATGCTTGACATTGCTGCCTCTCTTGCTTTGCATCTCCCTGCGATACAGCCAGCCTCTCATTCCTATGCTGCTTGCTGATGCTTCCTCGTTGTTCACCTTTCTCATCGTGCTGCCTCACCCTTGCGGTTATTTTCTCGTGCATGCGGTATCTTTATCACTATCACGTTATCTGCGGTATCTTCATCTCTATCTCCTATCTGTTGTCGGGTCAAATTATGTTTTTCTCTCCTCTGGCCAACGTGTGCGGGCATGGTGTCTCCGGTGCTCGTCCTCATGAATGCAAGGGATGAAGTATTTGGTCGATGAAGCAGCTTCGGCTTGCTGCCGCTCCTGCATGCATTCAACAGCTGCTGCTGCCTTCTTCATCCTTCACTTGCTGCTTCTAGCTTGACTCATCGACCTCTTCTGCTTCCTCCTTGCCCTCAGCCCTCGTCTCATCCTCGAGTTTACAATCGCATGCATGGCTGCAACCTGAACCTGTATACTCAAGCTTGCTTGCCGCATCCTCTATATCCCTCCAAGTTCTCTTCACTCCCGTAGTTCACCAGCCGTTCAATCTGTTTTGTTCCTCCATGAACCTGCTTGTTTTTCTTTCAAGGGCTCTCCAGTGAGGTCCGATGATTGTTAATTAGGGTTTCTTACTGTTTCTGAAAGCTTTGATTGCTCTTTTCTTTCTCTTCTCAATCCTCCATGACATTTCGTCTAAGCTGAACCCTATTTAGGATGTTTTGCACTAGCTGAACCTGGGAAATGCTCTTACTACTTCTGCCCTCTGCTCCCTCTCCTGCTGCCTCCCCTATTCAGCTCCCTTTCTCTTCACGCTCTCGCCTCATTCGTTTGCGTTTACATTTTCTTCAGTGATTCAACGTAGTATCTGTTGTAACCTGTCGGCCATCTCCGTCTACTGATGCTTCGCATGTCCTTACATGCTACGCATGATCACTGATTGTCTTCGTGATTCGTTTTATTGTCTGATCATAAGGAAGCGAAAGCAATTTGCTGCATTTGAAGTCCATTGGGAGTGATGCGGGTGTGGCAGGTCTGACAGCATGTCTGCTCGCAAGAAAGTTCTTCTCAAGGTTATCATCCTCGGGGACTCCGGGTGAGACCTGACGCAGTAGCGTGCGGAGGTGACCATATGCCGCAGGGTGGGCAAGACTTCGCTCATGAACCAGTACGTGAACAAGAAATTCAGCAACCAGTACAAGGCTACCATTGGCGCTGATTTCTTGACCAAGGAAGTGAATGTAGACGACAGGCTGGTCACGATGCAGGTGGGACCCCGAAGCTGCTCGCAACTGAGTTGACGCGCCTGTGCAGACGTGGGACACAGCAGGGCAGGAGCGGTTTCAGAGTCTGGGTGTAGCGTTCTACCGCGGGGCTGACTGCTGCGTGCTTGTCTTCGACGTCAACGTCGCCAAAACGTTTGAAAACCTCGACAGCTGGAGAGACGAATTCCTCATCCAGGCGGGCCCTCGGGATCCTGAGAACTTCCCGTGAGCTGCTGCTGGGGGAGGAGCTGGGGAAGGCTGACAGACCTGGCAGCTTCGTCGTGCTGGGAAACAAGATCGACCTCGAGAACCAGCGAGTCGTCACGCAGAAGAAGGCCCTCGCATGGTGCCAGGTGCGGGAGGTGGAGAGGGGGGAGAGGGGCGAAGGAGGGAGAAGAAAGGGCTGAGAGAGCAGGAGGGTACGAGGAGCAAACTATGGGGGGTGGACTTGGTGGGGGAGGAGGAGTGTCTGGTAGGGAAGAAACCGAGGGAGTGAGAATTGGAGCAGGCCAAGGGGAATATTCCGTACTTCGAGACGTCGGCGAAGGAGGCGATCAACGTGGAGCAAGCGTTCCAGACTATCGCGAGGAACGCGCTGAAGCAGGAGACTGAGGACGACCTCTACATCCCTGACACCGTCGACGTGAATGCGGACAAGCCCTCAGATGCGAAGAAGTTCGGAGCCTGTTGTTGAGCGAGAGGAGGAGGAGAGACAAGAAGGTCTGGTGGAGCTTTAATATAGTTGATGACTCGTGCCCTCCCCCCCTCTCTCCCTCCCTCCCTCCCTCCCTTCTTGTCTCCCTCCTTGTCTTCCCCCTTCTCCCGCCTCCCTCCTCCTCTGTTTTCTTCCATCCCTTGCTCGTCTCTCCCCACTCTGCCCAGCTCTTGATCTGCTGCCCCATGACCCAACCTCATCAAGTACAGCTGAAGGGGAGAGGGAGTGAACGACGAGCACGAGCGGGTCCACGTAGTAGATGAATGTCTGCTCGCAGTAGCCAAGAAGGGACAAAGACAAACTGAGGAGGCGGAGGAGTGAAGAGGAAGAGGCGAGCGAGGATGTTGCGTAAGAAGGGATCAGGAGCAACGTTCATAAAAGAATAGCAGCAGCAGCAGCAGCAGGTCGTCTCATCCTTTCTCCTGCAGCAGCAGCGGCAGGTTTGGTCGCACCACCTGCATGTACCAGGACGGAAACTTCCGGTTGCGCAGCGTCGACGCCGCCTGAGCAGCAACGGGGAAACGAGTCTCGAGCTCAGCGAGTTTCTCGCGAGCCAGGTCCCCGTCGGGCTTGCGACTGATAGCAGGTAAGGAAGAAAAAGAGAAGAGGAGCGACAGGTGACGAGAGTAGAGCATGCAAGGAGGGTGAGGACAAGCAGGATCAGGAGCAAGAGGGAGAAGGAGCAGAAGCAGGAGGGAGGAGCCAGAGAAGGTGGGAGAAAGAGCAGGGAGGAAGAGCAGGGGGGAGGAAAACGGAGCAGGAGGGAGCAGGAGGAGGGCCGAGGAAGAAGGAGGAGGGAGGAGGGAGGACGAAGAAAAGAGGACGAAGGAAGCAGGACGAAGGGAGCAGGATGGAGGAAGCAGGATGGAGGAGGGTTGAGGGTTCCGCACCTCTTGTTATTGATGGTCATCTTCTCCATCATCCCCGCGTATGTCTCTGTCACGTCCTGTAAAATCTTCAGCCGCCACCTGCCAACATGGTGAGACTGAGCTGGGAGGCAGCTGGAGGAGGAGACATGCTGGGCTGGAGGCCTTTCTTGGGCGTCAGGTTGGCGGTGCAGCTTCGCAGGAGACCCTCAGCGACGACGAAGTCGCCAGTCTCAACTCTGATCTGAAGGAGGAACCAGTGAGAGCGAGGAGAGGAGAGGAGAGGAGAGGAGAGGAGAGGAGAGGAGAGGAGAGGAGAGGAGAGGAGAGGAGAGGAGAGGAGAGGAGAGGAGAGGAGAGGAGAGGAGAGGAGAGGAGAGGAGAGGAGAGGAGGATAAACGACAGGACAGGACAGGACAGGACAGGACAGGACAGGACAGGAAACTATCGTGACGAGAGGAGGAGGGTGTTCAACCTTGGCAATGACAAGCAAACTGACGTCAACGGCATCTGCAATGGAGTCATGTCGAGCAAGCAAGTTGGATAGTCAGCTGGGGATATACCGAGCAAGTTTGAAGTCTCTGCGATGTTGAGAGCCTCTGCTGCCGTGTCGTCCGCGAGTTTGAGCTCCTTCAGAAATGTGAGAGGTAGAAGGAAGGGAGGAAGGAGGAAAGAGGAAGGGAGAAGCAGGAAGGGAGGAAGCAGAACCAAGGGAAGGAGGGGAGCAACGGGAGGGGAGGGAGGAGGGGAGTACAAGTGGACGAGGAACCACCTTCTTCTCAAGGTAATAAAGACAGAGTAGATGCAGCCCTGAAGAAATTATTCTCAACATCAACGACCGGACAAGTGAAACGACAAGACAGACATCCAACGAACAGACAAAACACATGAATGTTGAATTGAAGCAGCCACAAAGTTAGACAGACCTGCGATCTTTACAGCTGCTTCTCCAACCATCGCCGGCCGATCGATCTTGCTCATTGCTGCGTCCCAGTGCGACTTGGCGACATCAACTGCATCGAAACCTCAGCCTCTCACTTGCCCTCCCTTCTCCTCCCTCCTTCTCCTCCTCCCTTCTCCTCGTGCTCGTGCTCATGCTCGTGCTCGTGCTCGTGCTCCTCCTCCTAAGCCCTCCCACCTCCTTTCACCTGCTCCAGACTGCTGCTGAGCCAACCCAAGGAAGACATGCGCGCACGCTCCAAGCACAGGAATCTGATTGCCGTCCTTGTCTAGCGATTGACACTGCCCAGTAGCGACATGAGACGAGGAGAAAGAGTGGGTGGGTGGAGGAGAGCAAGAAACAATGACAAGAGAGGAAAACACTACAGGACATTCAACTGGGGCAGATGAGAGAGGAGAAAGGATACGGGAGGAGAACAGGAGAGGAGCAAGAGAGGAGCAGAATTGATGTCACCAGGTCCGTCAAGAAGGCTTCAGCATCGTCTGCAGTGGACGAAGGATGGGAACCGTCGAGCATTGCAAGAGCCTCTGTAATGTCGCATGCTCTCTGTAGCGATGGCCCGTCCTTGCCCAGCCTCTGCTTCCCTCGGTCAGAGCAGAACCGACATACTCCACATCCTCTCTCACCACCGCCATGCTCTTCGCCTGGTGGATCATGCTGACATTAAGCAAGCCGATCTTGACGTCCGTCAAGCAGGAGCTGGAGGAAAAGTAAGACTGAGGCATGAGAATACACTCGGCATTCTATTCCAGACAAGACAGGAAAAGACAACAGACAGGATAAGACAACACGGAACATGACAGGACGGAATAGCACAGGACAGGACAGGACAGGACAGGACAACAACCTATGAACTGCCTCGAAGGCGAGGTAATCGGAGTGAAATCCAGGTTTTGTTTCCTGTGGGGAAACGATCAAACTTTTACCGCAATCCACCACTGTTGTTGCAAATGGTACTACTGGTATTACTGGTACACTGTAATCTGCCGGTGCTACTGGAATCTGCTGGTACTACAAGTGTCTACTGGCACTTGCATGTCGTTCCGGTACAACTAATTGTTCTTACATCTCACTAATGGTACTACCAGTTAGACCTTTATCTCACTGCTGGTGCAGATCTTTGTACTCATACGTCCCTCTGGTGCTACTCGATCTTCTCTCATCACTACTGCTTCAACTTGCTGCACTTGAAGGTGTTGCTTACCTGCAAATCAAGCCCTGCCTGCACGCATTTCGCACGATAACTCGCCTCCTGGAGAGCATGTGAGCCGAAGAAGAGGGGAATGAAACCGAGGAGACGATGAGAAGGAGGAAGGGATACCTTGGAGAAATCTCCCGAGAGAGCGTACAGGTGGGCAAGAGAGTCAACAGCAAAGAGGTTCAGCTCAGGCATCCCAGCAGACTGACAGATCTCTTCCGTCCTGCTCTTCCGCTCAAGAGACATGGCGGGAGGAACGAGCTCTACCTGACTAGGCGGTTGATAGCAAGGTTGAACTTCCCGGACTCGTAGTACTCTCTCGCCTCCTGGACCTGCACGAGCTCGTGAGTGCTATTCCATCTCTCATCCTCATCCTGTTCTACGTATCCTCCTCCCTCCGCTCCCCCCCCGCCGGTTACCTCCGGCATCTGCAGAAGTTCGGAGAGGATGGACATGGAGCTGCTAGGGAGTGGAGTGGAGTTGCGCAGGAGGCCGTAAGACCGCAGGCCCAGAGGAATGGGAGGCCGGGGAACTCCTTGCCATGGCATAGCATTACGTGAGCAGAGCACTGGAGAGAGAGGAGAGCGCGATGACGAGAAGCTGTAGACCCTGCGAGGGGATATGCCGGGAATGAGCGGCTCCGGGATCACAGAGGATCCAGCGTGTTTGCTTCCATCGACTGTATCGAATGTGAAGGGAGAGGGGAAGGACGTCCTGGCAAGATTCGGAAAGTTTGAGGAGATGATCAGAGAGCATGAAGGAGAGCAAACGTGACAACTGTGCAGTGCTGACGAGGAGGAGGCTGTGGAGAACTGGGTTCGCGTGTTCGATGCTCGAAAGTGAGGAGGATTGGAGCAGACATGCTGAGGTTGGGGGAGAGAAGCGGAGAGACAATGCAGGGAAGGAATGGAGGACGAGGAAGAACGAGGATTGAGGAGGGGGAGGGAGGCGAGGCGAGGTTGTCGCTTCCTCGCATGTAGACTACGGGCGACTAGCATGGCCGGTCCAAAAGAACGAATGAGGGGTGGGGACTGATGATGGTGGGGGTACATACCCCTACCCACATATGTGAACCAAAAACAGGTAGTCTGGAGGGGTGAAATATCTTGGGGGCATAGTCAGGGAATGGCGTCTCAGTACCCCCTCAATGCCTGAGATCAGGGGTGGGGTGATGCACCCTATTGAAGATCGCGAAAAGAGCTCGAAGCGGACTGGTAGGGTAGGGTACCCTAGGCTGCACCCTGAGAATTTATGTGGAACCGGTGTAGATGATAGACTTTAGTACCGGTACCTGAGGCTCAATTCACTACCCTCACCCTACACAAGAAATGGGTTTGCTTCATCTTCATTCCTTTGCGCTACTCTGTGTCCATAACCCCCACCCTCTCTATAAGAGTACAAATGACCGGTGAGAATACATATGTATCACCCCCACCCTCTCAATTACAGTACAAATCACCCGTGAGGACACATATGTATCACCCCCACCCTCTCAATTACAGAACAAATGACCCGTGAGAACCAATATGTATCACCCCACCCACACATATGACTCCGAGGCCCCCAGCGTCCGAGTCGGAGTCACCTCGACGTCAGTGCCGCACGTCGGGTGACTGACCGTGTCCGGCATCGACTTCAAGTTGCCTTGCCAGGCTCTGCGTGTCGTTGGTGTGAGACAAACTGAGGAACAAAGAGAAAGATCGTGAGCAGTTTGCAGTAGCGAATGAGTGGATCTCTCCTTTGGCACCTGCCGTAACCCCTGTCAGTGTCGGAACAACTCGAGTCAGATGATCGCATCAGGGACTGAATTGACACACAAGACAGAGACACAATCATACTGGTACACATGATGATGACCCGCCAAGGATGACAGGCAAGACATTGAAGCGATGTTGGGCACACTCAAGTCACACAAGGTGCAGTGCGACTTTGCTTACTTACCCCCCTGGAAGTGGATGCTCTTCAGGTCACTCCACTCCTGCTCTCCTCCTTGAGATCGTCTCAGTTGTTGTGCTCGCAGAGCTGGAAACGCCTTGAAACGAAATCCAGCTTCCCGATGCCCATGCCGGTGATCGAACCCGTACTCCTTGATGTCACAAAGTCTCCTAGCCTGGTGCTCGTCTGACTTCCAACAGTCCAGCGACGGGACCCCCCACTCTCTCCCCAGCTTGCGGTCAGCCTGACTGACGTAGAGGTACCACAGAGTCATGTCGCATACGTAGGGAGCTTTCTCTTTTTTCATGGTCAGGAGCTCAACCCCCTTTGGGTACTTGTAGATCGTGATCGCAAAGTTCATGTAATCATAAAGGATTGGGCGCGAAAGCAAGCCCGTTCCTGCCCAGGCCACCCAGTCCAAGGTTGAAAAGTTCTTGTGGAAGGGAGTGGCCGGCAGGCTGAGAGCAGAGTCGCAGTGGCGGTAGATCTTGAGGTCGTTGAGGCGGGTCAGCAGGAGCACATCAGAGTCCGTGTAGAAGACGTCGGTCCAGTCTCGCTGCAGCATCAGGGCGTACATGAAGAAGAACCTTTCGCTGTTCTGACGCTCATACGGCTCCGAGCTGCCCCAGGGCTTGTAGACCCCTCGAAATTCTTCCAACTTTGATTTCACCTTCGGCTCAGCGTCCATGATTGCATTCATGTCCACGAAATGCACATATTGATGTCTTTGATGAGATCGAGCAGTTTGAGAATCTGTGAGCAAGAATACCGTATTTCCCTTCAAGAAAGATGCAAACATTGAACTCCAAATGTATTCACCAGAGTGTAACACATTGTTAAAGATGTGAAAGAAGATATGCGGAATTGAGCGTTTCTTCTGCCTCGTTCGCATCCTTCTTGCTTTTGCACTCCTCGAATCATTACGTCGCATACCATCGAGTGTTGGTCTGGTGCCGTTCGAGGCGTTGAAGAGGGAAAGTGAAGCATTCTTAAAGTGTGAAATATTTCGAGATTCTGACACGTTCTGAGAGTGTGGGATGTCACGATAGTCTGAAATATTCTCGGAGCTCGCAGAAATTTGGGAGGTTGCAATCTTCTCAGAGTATGAAACATTTTGAGGGTTCGAGATGTTCTCAGAGTTGGAAATAGTCGGGGAGGTCGAATTTTCATGAGAGGGGACTGGTTGTGAACTCAGAGCAGAGAGGGGCCTCTTGCCGGAGCTGTTGCCTTCATCGGGAGCCCCGGGTTTCATGGAGTCCCTCAGTCCTCCCATCAAGTCAACACCCTTGCCATGCTGTTCCACGGATGACACGATCTCCCGATCTTTCAGTGGTTTGTGTCTCATCTTACTCGGAGACGCCTTCGGTGTTGCTGTATCTCCCGTCACACCTACCAAGTGCTCAGCCAAGGTCAGCTGCTTCGCTTGCCATGCCGCAGGTAGAAGGGCAAGGTCGTAGAGGGCCTTTAAGCTCTCGGTTCGCGTCGTTATCAATGCGATGACCCCGCAAGCGAGCAACGCAGTCACAGCCAGCAGCTGCGTCCTCATCTTCTGAGCGGCTGATCTAGCGAGTTTCTAGTCACTGGTCCTCACCATCACATGATACTTCAAGCCAGGCGGCGAGGAGAGCCTTCCAAGACCAAGAGGAGGATTTAGACTCTGAACAGACGAGGATCTTGAAGAGGTGAGGAGGGCAGGAGGGCAGGAGGGCAGGAGGGCAGGAGGGCAGGAGGGCAGGAGGGCAGGAGGGCAGGAGGGCAGGAGGGGAACAAGTAGTGGTACTGCTGCAAGGACGCCCGGTTGTTTACTCGGAAAGTTAAGTTAAAAATCGGTACGAGGACCGTTGAACGGCATCCGATGATCATCCCGGGGTCCGATCGGCGGCGGCCGGGCACTGATCGATCGCCGGGATGGCATCCGCCGCCGGCGCCGCGGCCGGGGAGACCGTCGGCGCGGCGCGGCCCGGGCCCGCCGCCCGGGGACCGCGGAGCGGCTTCAGCTGAATCCCGGAGAGTCCATTGAATCCAGTTGCCACCGTCACAGGCTCCCGGCCAGGCGGAGCCTCGGAGCGGCTGACCGACTCGGATGCGACGGTTGCCGCTGCGGGGCCCGGGGCTTCGAAAGGCTCCAGCCGGGCCCCGCGGGGAATACTCTCCGAGGCTCCGGCGAGGCTCCGGGCCCGGCGCGGCGGCTGAGTACGGGGAGTCCGACCTGACAGTGTCGCGGCGGTTAGTAGAAAAAACTGGGCGTGACCGTACTGAGCGAGAAACGGCCAACCCTCATGCGCAGTGCGGCAGTGCGTGCGCCATCATCAAAGCAGCAATTTACTTTCAAGTTTACATGCAGTGCTCGGCGGCTTGAAAGCGAAGTTGCCGCTGGGGACACTCAGTGACTGAGCGGCGCCGGGCAGCCCGGGCGGCGGCCACGCAGTGCCGGGCGTCAGACGCGGGCGGCGGGCCCGGCCCGGCCCGTGCCGCCCTCCGACTGACGGTCACCGGGTGTCGGCGGATCGGACAGGCCGGGCTTTGGCACTGCCGGGCCCGACCGAGCCCACCTCAATTCTGTTGAGGGACCGTGATTTCAAGTTTGAACGATCCACGCCTGTTTGAAATAGAGAACCCTACCCCCCTCCTCCACCCGTACTGCAATAGAGGAAGGGGGTCCTCTGGCATGCACCTCACCCCCGTGTTCGAATGGCAACATGGAGAAAGACGAGGGAGGGAGGGAGGGAGGGAGGGAGGGAGGGAGGGAGGGAGGGAGGGATATGCAGATGGTAGACCAAGAATATCAAGTGAAGGGAAGAGTAAGAGAGAACATGTCGGAGGAGGCAGCATAGACACACCTGACGTGACGAACAGTGACAGGGCAGCAATGTGACCTTGATTCAACACCATCATTGTACAATGAGGACGAACCAGAGTTGTAGTAAACAGATTCCGTAGTTCACAATGATGTCTGCATCCCCTTCTGACCTCCCATCTCCTTACATCGCGTTGATTCATCTTCATGCTTGATTCATCAGCAAACATGCACTTCGGTTCTTCTGCTGATTCCAGTTTGAACCTGAAGGCATTGCTGCAGGTCGAACAGAACAAATCGAATCAGCATGGGAGGGACAGACTCTCCGAGCACGGGGACTCCGAGCAAGACAGGAGCAACTCCACGGAAGTACACACCGCTGAGAAACAGGACACCCAACACGCCGAGCAGAGACAGCCTGGTCAAAGTGACCTTCAGCGTAAAGCATGAGATGCAGGTTGAGGACGCGAGCATGTTCGTAATCGGATCTCTCCCCTCCCTGGGGTCATGGGATCCCCGTCGAGCGAGGAAGATGAGCCAGGCAGAGGACGGGACTTGGATGATCGCCATCTACCTCCCTGAGAAGGTTGAGTTCCTGTACCAGTACTGCCTGATCCAGGAGGAGGAGGATTCTGCCCGCCAGCCCCTTATAGTCTGGCAAGGGAACATCGAGAGGAAGTGCAAGGTCGACAACGCCTCGGACACGCCTGGCAAGCAGCTCATCCTCGAGGACAACACGGCAGCCGACGGAGGGCGCGGCGAAGGGGAGCGGCAGCAGCAGGAGCTGAAAATCGACCCGCTGGTACCAGTGGGAGCGAACTCGATGCAGCAGAAGCTGGAGGTGAAGCAGATCGAGATTGACCAGCTGCTGGAGGAGAGAGAGCGATGCCAGAACGAGTTGCAGAAGCTCAAGGACATCATCGGTTACGCCGACAACCCCGACGACTACAAGAAGCGTCAATCCTACCTCCCTGACTTCAGCTCCCTCCTCTATGACACCGTTCGAGAGGTCTCTCCTCCCTCCATCCCTCCTCTACTCTCCTCCCTCCTCTTTCTCCCTTCACCCCCCCTCCCCTTCTCCCTTCCCTCCTCTTTCTTCCTCCCTCCCTCCCTCCTCTTCTCTTTTCCTTCATTCCTTGCTGTTCTCGTCTTCCTGTTGCTCAGCCTTGCTCTATGTTGACTTCCCGTCACTCGCTGCCTCCTCTCTCTCCTTCCTTCTCGCTCTCTCCTCTCCTCGCTTGCCCTAAGCTTCTCTTCTCCCCAGCTGCAATCGTCCGTGCAGAGCAAGTTGCGCAAGACCTGCTCCTCCATCGCCGAGGATCATGCGTTCGAGGGAGGAAGCAGCGAAGACGTCAAGGTCTCCTGCTGCTGCTGCTGCTGCTGCTGCTTTGTGCTCTCCTGAATCATTTTCAGTTGGCGTTGCAAGAGGCAGAGACGAAAGTCAACGACCTCAGAATGGTATGCTGACCCCTTGCACAGCGCTCCTCCTCCTCCTCCTCCTCCATCTTCTCCTCCTCATTATCTCCTCCTCCTCTCCCTCTTCTGGTTCTCATTTCCTCATTTCTGGACTTGCAGCGGCTGGAGCAGGCTGAGCTTCAACTGGGCGAGGCGACGGTGAGACGAGGAGGAGAAAGAGGAAAGAAAGGGGGGGGGGGCGGGGAGAGAGGTGGAGGAGAGAGGAAGGAGAGGGAGGAGGATGTTCACTGGCAGTCAGGCCCTGCATGAGGTGGAGAAGAAAGAGCTGCAGGAATACTACGAGAAGGTACTGTTCTTCCCTCCCCTCCGCTCTCTTCTTCCTTTCTCCGCTCTCTCCCACTGTGCTTCCTTCATTCCTTCCGTTCTCACTTGCTCTGTCTCAGGCTCTGGGAAAGATGGACTGCAAGGATCAAGAGGTAAAGATTTCTTCGCTCCCCCGCCTCCTCCCTCATCTCCTCCTTCTCCACTTCTCCTCACTGCTGTCAACCGCTCAGGATGCGATGAAGAGGATGAAGGTGGAGGAGAGTCGAACAATGCTGGAGGTGAGACACCGATGCCTTCCTGCCCCTCCTTCCTGCCGTCATCGAACCCCCGCCCCCTCCTCCCTCCTCCCTCCTCCCCTTCCTCCCTCCTCCCTTCCTCCCGCCTTTCTCCTCCCTCCTCCCTCCTCCCTCCTCCCTCCTCTCAGTCTTCAGCCTTCTCTTCGTCTCCCCCTCCCCTTCTTGTCCCTTCTCTCCCTCTCCACTCCCCTGATTCTTCTCCTAGAGCTCCATCCGCGTTGTGGCCGGGGAGCTCTTCGACGTCAGGCAGCAGCACGACAAGCTGAAGGAGGAGGCGAGAAGCTTGCAGGCCCTGCTGCTGGGAGAGGAGATGAAGCAGCTGGAGCAGGCCATTGTAAGGGAGCGAGGACGAGGAGGAGCGAGGGAGGAGGAGAGGGGAAGGGGAGGGAGGAGGGGCAGAGGAGGGGCTGATTGCGAGTTGGCAGTGCGGGCAAATCGGCAGCCTCTGCGGGAGGATGGAAGAGGAGAAGGAGGAGGCGTCAGAGCGATTGAAGAAGGTCGAGAGAAGACGAGGAGGAGAAGAGATGAAGAAAATGAGCAGGAAATCACGGAGAGGAGAAGACTGCACAATCTCGTACAGGAGGTTACTCCTCCTCCTCCTCCTCCTCCTCCTCCTTCCCTGTTTGCTGTCCTCCTCCCTCATCCTCAGCTACTATTTCTCTCTCTCCTCACACTTCCTACAGCTGCGTGGAAACATTCGAGTCTTCTGCAGGTGCGGAGGGAAAGAGAGAAGAGGGGGATGCAAGGGGGGTGGGGACAAGGAGGAGCGAGGAGGAGCAAAGGGGGTGGGGTGGGG